TTTCCTGAACTGGGGTCTCTTTGATGAATGTTCCAAGACACATTATCTAAATATCCAATTATGCTAAAAAAATTGTCTAGATTTCACACTGCATTACAGATAGTACAGAAAGAAAAGTTGCATATTATAACTTAGCACTATATCTGCATTTATTTTAAGATTTAAGACACAAGATATTGTCATATTCATTTGAAGCCTAAATACAAACGGGTGATTCCTTCTCTTGTAAAATAATTCCTCACTGTATGCTTTATTTTTCATAACCAAATAGATCAGCCATATCCATTCAAAATACTCATTAGCTTATGCTGTAGCAAAGCAGAGTTCAACCCGGGCCTGATTCTGAAAAGAGGGTGCCCTATGCTCACACTGACCTGAATGGGGGTGAAGGGTGGCAGAGCACCTTGACGGACTGGTCCCCTAATTACTATGGCCCTGATCCTGCAGTTCATTGCATGGGTGCAGCAATCTGCCCATATGCAACAATTTGAAGGATTGGACTCTGCAAGAATAGCAAGAAAATGTAACGAGTCAGACTACTCTCGAAGAGCCAAATAATTGTTAACTCTACAAATACAGCGACAGGCATGGGGTTATAGTGCATCAAAATTATCTTCATTGTTAGATTGCAATTATAATGATTTCCATGTCTGCATTTCAAATGTTTGAAATGTACTCTCTCAAAAAACCTATGCTCTAAATCTATCAATCACCAGAACATCCTTGTTCACTGAAAGAAAACCATCACACCAAAAGATACATCAAACTCTCTCCAAAGTCTCTATAATTAGGTTTTATAAAGGCATTCTAATCCTAATCCCAATTCTAAATACATCTCTTAAATTGCTGTAATTTCTATCTGCCACATTTTATAACACTACTTATCATTTCAATGATTAACTAGTCTCACTGTAATGCTATCAAGCCTCTATTACCAGCATATGCTATCTATTCCTTTGTTTTAGCATTCATCAGTCTAAAAAATTCTAGGCATATTGTCAAACCATATACCTCGGTGTGAAAACTACCACAGTCCCTTGGCTTTCTGGTGTACTTCACTAATTGGAAGCACCTAATAATATGTGTAGGGCCCTACCAAATTCATGGCCGTGAAAAACGCATCACGGACCATGAAATCTGGTCTCCCCTGTGAAATCTGGCTATTGTAGGGGGGTTGCTGTATTGCCATCCTTACTTCTGTGCTGCCTTCAGAGCTGGGTGGGTGGAGAGTGGCAGCTTCTGGCTAGGCACTCAGCTCTGAAGGAAGCACCACCACCACCCGCAGCTCAGAAGTGAGGGTGGCATGTGGGGGGGGTGTCACTTGGGGGGGGGCAGGGCCATCCTTAGGGGTGGGAGTTCACCCAGGATGCTGTGGTCGGAGGGTGTGTGCTGTGGTAACACCCTCCGCCCCCCTCCACACAGTCAGCCCAAGGCCCCTTGAACTCCCGAGCGCTGGACCTGGAGCTGGGGAGGGGCAGGTCTGAGGCTTCTACCATGAGCTTGGCTCCAGCTGCTAGGCCTAGCCAGGCTGGGGAGGGATCGGACTTCTTCCCCTGTACGGGCATTCCCACGGACGGGTCAGATCCACCTCCAGGAACCTCCCTGGCTGCAGGAAGCTCCGTGGCTGCTGGCTGGTAGCCCAGCTCTGAAGGCAGCACCACTGCCAGCAGCAGCACAGAAGTGAGGGTGGCACGGTATGGTATTGCCACCCTTATTTCTGTGCTGCTGCTGGCAGTAGCGCTGCCTTCAGAGCTGGGCTCCTGGCCAGCAGCTGCCACTCTCTGGCTGCCCAGAACTGAAGACAGTGCAGCCACCAGCAGCAGTGCAGAAGTAAGAATGGCAATTCTGCCACCCCCCTACAATAGCCTTGTGACCCCTCTATGACTCAATTTTGGGTCAGGACCCCTACAATTACAACACTGTGAAATTTCAGATTTAAATATCCGAAACTGTGAAATTTAAGATTTCTTTAAAATCCTATGACCGTGAAATTTACCAAAATGGACCATGAATTTGGTAGGGCCCTAAATATGTGATATAAAAGTAATATCAGTCTCCCTCATCATATTCTAACAAACATGCTGTTTAGCTCTAGTCTTTTAAGGATTCATTAGGGTCTCATCAGGCCTGTGTGATTAAATCAGGCGTTACTTTAGAATATTATATAATGCTGCTTGACCGGGTAAAATGCTAATTTACATATTATTATTTAATTAACCTCCAAAATATAAATATCAGCAAGTTGTTCATTCTACAGTCATAATTCTCGATGCCAGAGATTTTGAATAGCTCTCTAAATATGCCTCCTGCCGTATTCATAGCAACACGGCTATCTTCACCCTACCCAGGGTACAGTTTCCACAGTAAAAGACACCTCCCAGTTCTGACGGCTGACAACGTAAGCAGGTTCATAAAGACAGGTTTCTGTGAATTTTTAACTCAGGTATAGAACTGCAAGCATATCATATATTGCTTTGAGATCTACTGATGAAAAGCACTGTATATCAGCTAGGTATTATTATCATTATTACTTAATAAACTGAGAGCAGCTTCAGATCAGTATATTATCTTGTTCCGTCTTGCTTTCAAAATGCAAATGCTGCCGCACAGAGCTACTGTACAGTAACTTTATATGCCTACATAGTCACATAATGTACATTGCCACAAACTCGTCCTACTATTCATCTTCTCTAAGGGTGGTTTGGATGTGTTTTGGCTGAGGGGAAGTGGTAGATATGTGGATGTCAGCACGCACACACAAAGCCGTTCCTGTACAGGTCTATTGCAGACAATCTAATAGATCCCACTGACACATTTAACAATGTATCGGTATTTATTTGCAGTAGCCGCTTCCCACTCCAAATTTGCCAATAAACCAAAGGGCAAAACTGTGCGGACTGTTTGCAAAACCGCCTTTGCAAGCAGCGAAAGCTGAGCGTGTAGTCTTTACTGAAACACAGACATATCAATATAAAAAAGCCAGTTGAGACGCGGAAGGTTGCCAAAGCTTCTGGGAGACAGGGAGAGTTTTCCTCCTAGATCTCCTGCCCCAGTACCATCACTGGGAACTGGAAAATGTCACTTCCCCTCTGGAAGAAGCCTTATTTTTCTGGGAGTGACTGGGAGGTAGGGCCTGGTTTTTCTGGGTGTCAGCCCAGATCACAGTCAGTGTCCCCCCCACCCCTCTCCTGTGTGTGGCACCTCGGCAGAGAGCAGGATGGGCCCGGGAAGAGATGGGCCCGATCCTGTTCCCGTTTGCGGTCAATGGCAAACCCCCCCCCCCCCCCCCCCGCAGCGGGAGCCGATGGAGCGGGCCCCTCGGTCCAAAACGCCTGGAACGCCGAGCGGCCCCGAACCCCTTCGGCCATTTCCGAGCCTGTTCGGCTTCTCCCGACCGCTTCCGAACGCCGCCGAGCCTTGCCGAGCGCCGCCGAGCTTCCCGAGCCAATCGACTTCTCCAGGCTCTGCTGGGCGCTGTCCACCACTGGAACCGCCTGAAATCTCCCCGCTCGCCCCGCCGCGCGGGGACCGGCCCGGGGCGGCAGCTGCTCTGCGGGCAAAGCCCCCCCCCCCCGCTCAAACCCCTTCCGAGCTGCAAAGGGGGGGCCCGCCCCCCATGCAGGTGGCCAGGAGCCGCTGGCAAATAACCGCCCACCACACCCTGCCTGCACACCCACTTCTGGGCATCTCTCTCTGAGCAGCCCCCGGTGGAGCAGGGGATCCGCGGGGCCCTCCGAGCAGCGGCTCCTTTTGCAATGATCCTTGTGCAAAGAAATAAATAATAACCCCCCACCCCCACGTGTCAAATATCACAGGACAGGAGAGGGACTCCCAAGGCTGCGATCAGGGGCTGTGCAGTGATGGCGCCACCTCGAACGAGCTTGTCATGTCTGTTCCAGGGTAAAGCTGAGATTTATTTCTTTGTAAGGACTCGTGAAAGGAGAAATCCCCTCGCCCCTTTCACTAGCCGGCCCCACCTCGCCCAGGGGAGGCACTCACTCTCCAGCCACGGTGCCAACTGGGAAAAAGAACCAGGTTTTGTCTATTGCACAGCAACTGCCTCATTAGCAAACGTGTGTGTGTGTGTGCAAAGGTGTCACAGCAGAACCCCTGGGCCAGTCCAGCACCACACAGCCACAGCGGTTCGTCAGTGGCTTCCAGACAGCCTCGGGAGATTTCAAACACACCCGAGCTCAGGAGAAATGGTTGAGGGAGGGGAAGGAGGAATCATGTTCCGAAGTGGCCAGTGCTTTTATAAAGGAGCCGGTTTCCTTGTGGCTTAATTATTATTTTCTGTTGTGGTTGCTGTTGTTTTTAAATCCCCGTTTAATTTTAATTGGTGATCAGGAGCCAAATTCATCTCTAATTAATTAAGAGGAAAGGCTGAAATCTCGGGGAAAAGGGGCTTTGAGTGGCAGGAAGCCTTGCTTTAAATCCGCATTACAGGCAGATTTTTGTAAAGAAATAAACAAATCAATGCCAGAGAGCCAACCCAGCAGCCCATGTCAGGAGATCAAACACCGAAGGGAGTGTGTACGTTGAGGGGAGGGAGATATTAATCTTAATCGACAGTGGTATGTTTAATGGTGATGCCCTGGTTACATCTGTGCCATTCACATCATCTGGGAAACCCACCCTGCCCCCCCCTCACCTGACACACACCTTGTGAGAAAGAAAAGAGAAACCACACCACCTTCAATTCAGCACCAACCCCATGAACAGCAGACACCTGATCGTCTATGGCGAGCAAAGGGCTGGATCCCCCTCCATCTTCTTTCCCAACCAGAAATCACGGCTACAGATGTGCCATGCCAATGGGGCCACAAGCCACCAAATAATAACAATAACGCTCAGATAAATATGGCGGTCAGAGGCATTCTTACAACTAAAGAATCGCCTTCTTGCAAACCTCCCCTCCTCCAAAAAAATCAACAGGGGAACGCCAATTTTTTTAAGGCAAAGGATCAACGCTTTTAGGGCACTAGCCCCAAAGGACTTACTTCATCTGCTTCACAATGGTGCTTTTCCCAGATTCTCCAGCCCCTGTGGGGACAGACACAGAAAGGAAAGAGCCGGTGAGTGTGAGAATAGAAGGAGATCAAGGAGATTACATAGGAGGGAGAGCAGCTGGGTTAATGGATGGGGGGGGGGGGGGTGATCTTGGCGAAAGACAGAGTTTCCCAGGGCAGAATGTGCACAGACAGGGAAGAAGCCTGACTTCACGAGAGGGGCAGGGAGGGTCGGGGGAGCCGCCGCTTACCTAGCAAGAGTAATTTCACGTCTTTGGCGGCGGTGATCCCATCCTCCTTGAGGTTTTTCTCGATCGCTTTGCTCCTCTCCAAGGCGGCTCTCTCCTCTGCGCTCAGTGTACATCCCATGATGGCCCCCCAAAAAAAACCACCTCTCGGCGGGCGCCTCCCCCCTTCTCAGACACTCCGAGGGAAAGGGGGAAAAAATCACCCCCCAGGAAAAAAAAAATCTGGGCAACCAAATGTGTGTCCCCCTTTTTTCCTTTCTTTCTTTGCTGTCCTCCCCTCCTTTACCTCTCTCTCTAGCAATCAATGCATCCAAGTGGGAGCCGGGCAGGGCTAGGGCTGCAGGCAGGCACTGGGGCTGGTGCAAAAAAGGCTGAGCTCTTCCTGATGGAGGAGGAAGAGGAGGAGGAGGAAGAGGGTTTGGGGGGGAGGGGAAAGGGTGGATCCTGCTCTTGCGGGAGGGTTTTTGTTGGAAGGCAGGCGGGGGGGGGGTCTCTAATGGGCGGCGGCGGCGCTGGCTGCGAGCGATCGCATCGTTCGGCGGCTCCTGGCGGAGAGAGAAGCAGAAGGGGGGAGAGAGCGCGAGCGCGGGCGCGAGGCAGGGAGAGTGCGCCAGGGGTCCGCACTCACGGGCTCGCCTGCCTCGGTGACGTCCGCAGCGCCCACCCGCGCATGCGCCCGGCGAGGCGCTGCTGCTGCTGCTACAGTGTAGCCGCGCGTCCGCATGGGGGTGGGGGAGCGGCTCGCGCGCGCCTTCTCCATTCCCACAGGTGCAGCCCCGCCCCAGCAGCGCGCGAGGCCGGGGTGATGGGCGGCGGTTCTTAAAGGGGCCTCGCCCTAGTGGCCCCTTCGGAGAGGATCTGTCTCTTGCCCGGGTGCTCTGCAGCCTGGAAGAGCTGGAGCACAACGGGAGCAGGGTCTAGAGGGAGGGAGCCTGGGCTAGGAGCCTCTAGGTGGACAACTTGCCATTGTCTCCCAGGAAAGCTCCCCCAGGCCCGATAGGCTACAGGGACGTCTAAAGGCTTGTCGTTCCCTTTAATTCCCCCAAATTAAAGGTCATTTACTTTTTTCCGTGCCTCAGTTTCCCCTCTATAAAATGGAAAGATTGCTTCCTTTCTCCCACCCTTTTGTAAACTCTTTGGGGCAGGGACTGTCTCTTTTTCTATGCACGTACAGTGCCTAGCACCGTGGGTTCCCTGTCTTGGTTCGAGCCTGTAGGTGCTGCTGTCATATAAAGCATAATATAATATATATAATATAAAGCATGTGTCTGACGAAGTGGGTATTCACCCACGAAAGCTTATGCTCCAATACGTCTGTTAGTCTTTAAGGTGCCACAGGACTCTTTGTTGCTTTTTACAGATCCAGACGAACACGGCTACCCCTCTGATACTATGAAATATATATGATTGCAGGGATGAACCCTTTTAGGCCTAGGCAAAATTGTTACTGGGGGTGAATGAAGTGAGAAAAAGGTTCCCTAATCCCACCTCAGGTTTATACACCAACGTGTTAATTACGTTGTTTCTTTTTCTTTCTTCATGTGGGTGTGTGCAGTTTTAGCTGGGGATTTTTTGGGGGGTGAAGGGAGTTGGAAGGGAGAGTAGTTAAACATTGCTTGATGTCATTAGATTAATCACCAAAAGGGACTCTGTCAGTGTTTGGGCACAACATTTAGATTTTTTTGTTTTGTTTTGTAAACCCCCAAATATTAATAGAAATAGTTCATAATATTTAGAAATAATCAGCGCAAACAGTTTGTTTGTTTTTTAACCTGAAAATGAATCTCCACATTGTTTGCCACCCAGGTTTTGCAGCATTATGTTATTGCACTGGAAACAAAAAATGAAACTGACTAGAAACTAAAGTAAAATTGACTAGTTTATTGCCATAATCCAGGATACCAAAAAAAAAAAAAAATTAAAAAACTAGAGCATTTATGGTGAAAAATGAATTAAATATTTATCACTCTCTCTGTTTTAATAATCCAGTATATTACTAATAACAGATGATTATTTCAATAGAGAATTTTTAACTCGATAGTCCCTTTAACATTTAAAAAGATACACAAGAATGATCATTTTATTTATTGGATTTTATTAGTTCCAATCTTTGCATATAAAGTGTCAAATCTTTTTGACCAATGCTGTTTAATCTGACAGATGTAGGTGCCTGACTTTAGATACTCCAGTTTCACAATTTTTGTTAATATTTTGGATATGTTTGGCATCAGTACGACGAGCAGGATTAGTCTCCTCATGGGCCATCCCATGCAAGCTAACCAAAAGAACCCTCCTTGCTGGATTATTTTTTGTTCTAATTTGTATTATTATTCTCCACATGCAAAACTGACAGTTGTCTTGGAATTCCAGCCAGCTACATTCTGTATTTCCTGACTAATTTTATCAGTTAGATTCTAAATAAAAATTATGAAACAGAAAGCGTTAGTAGGGTAAATAATGCTATTGTTTAAATCTCCTTCATGGTATTGCAGCCTGGTGATATTTATATTCCATTTTAACCCTAAATTTGATGGCGGTTATGATGTCTGAGCATGAATGATATCTAGAGAGATAACACTGATGAATGCAAGCATAGAAGGTTAGTAAGGATCGGTAGAGATAAAATGCACCACACAGGCCAATGAACAAAATGGAGGGCTATTGACAAAGGATGTAAGAAAGAACAAAAGACCATGTTATAAATAGATAAGACACAAGAAGATGTCAAAGGGAGGTCTGCTACCTAACAGTGAGGGAAAGCGAATAACAGATGTGAAAGGGAAGGCATGAATGCTTACCAGCTACTTTTATTCAGCCTTCTCTAAAAATGTTAATCATCATATGAGGCTTAGTACAAACATGGGGCCAAATCCTATGAATCATGCCTTAGAAAATCCTCAACTGCTACCACTGTGCTGCATTGCCCCACCCAGACAAACAGGGCTTGCAGCAGAACAGATCTGGAAAGAGGAGTGGCCAGCCCCACATGCTCAGGTTGGTAAGTGCAGGCCATAAATCCATAGATGGCTGGCCTTCCACATTCCGGACTGTTTCCTTGCCTCTTCTGGCTTTCTTCTCTATTCTGCTGCATTGATTTAGGTAATTCCTTGGGCCCCTGCTTGCAGCACTAATTTATCATACTTGAAACACTGAGTTTCCTGATTATTTGCAAGAGGAACATGCCATGTACAATGGCTACTCCTCTGGCTCCTCCACCTTTCCGTTGCCCACGTCCCTTCCCAGCCATGGGAATCTGATCTCCATCACAGCAACCATGGAATAAAGAGAGGAACATCTCTCATGTGAAGAACATCTCCACACAGCTTCCCTTCTGACCCTCCCCCCTTCAGAACTGGGTTGTCTATCTCCCCTTCTGACATACTAGGTGGAGGGGAAGAATATGGCTGATAGTTAATGAGGCAAGGGAGAGGTTTTAAGGCAGAATCAGGAAGAGAAAGATTAAAGAACACCAAATAATGTGAGCAAATTCAGATGAGTATAGTGTGACCCAGGGCCGGCTCCAGGGTTTTGGCCACCCCAAGCAGCCAAACAAAAAACAAACAAACAAAAAAGCCGCGATCGCGATCTGCAGCGGCAATTCGGCAGGAGGTCCTTCACTCCGAGCAGGAGTGAGGGACCGTCCGCCGAATTGCCGCTGAACAGCTGAACGTGCCGCCCCTCTCCGAAGTGGACACTCCAAGCACCTGCTTGGTAAGCTGATGCCTGGAGCCGGCCCTGGTGTGACCAGATTGCAAGTGTGAAAAATCAGGACAGAGGGTGGGGGGTAATAGGAGCCTATGTAAGAAAAAGCCCCAAATATTGGGACTGTCCCTATAAAATTGGGACATCTGGTCACCCTAAATGAGTAGGACCCAACAAAATTCACTGTAGAGTCTTAAAGGAACTATCAGAAGTAATGTTTGAACTCAATTATTTCTTAGAACCCATGGATAAGAGATTAGGTCTCAGAGAACTGGAAAGGGTAAATATGTTCAATTATTTGTGCAATTGGGAAAACACTTGCAGAATTACAGACCAGTGAACCAAATTCTTCTCCCAGTTGCACACCAGTGTTACTCCAGTGAGTGATGTGAATGTAATAAGAATTTAATGTCAATACCTGATCAGAGCTTGGAAAACTTACCAACCTGAGGATTAAAACTACCAGCCCGATATCAATATGAAAAGTGATGAACCCTGAAAACTGTTTGGTTTCTGGGTTTTTGTTTTGGACAAATAGTTGAAAATGTAGATGAAGATGAAAAAAAATCACTATAATTTTCCATGGAGAAAAAAACCCATTCTCTGACCAGCCCTACAATGAAGCTTTTTGTCTATAGACTTAAGAAGACAGAACTGTTACCAATTCACACTTTACGTTCAGGAAGATAACCTTCAAAGGCTGCACACATTTTTAATGAAAAATTAAATTCTCCAATATGGGTGCAGCACCGACAGTTTCCTACTCACCTTAGATGAGTGGATTTTTCAACCCCTGTGCTAGAACAATTAATAAAGCAATCAATCTGTACACAGCTGAAGGATAATAAAGTGGTAAACAGTTGACACTGTGGATTCATCTGAAACCTATCATGCCAAACTAACTTAATTTCTCTCTGTGAGAGGATAACAAGCGTAGCTGATATCGGAAATGCAGTGGAGGGTTAGCATTTCAGTTTCAGCCTGATATTTGATACAATTCCACATAGCATTATTGTGGGGAAATGAATGAAAGGCAGACTGGATGGAATTACTATAAAACTAATGAATGATTGGCTAGCTAGAATAATAAACATGCTGAAGTCTTTACTCAGAGCTACACTGTGACTTTGGGCACACACCCTAGCAAGCAGTAGTGCTTGAGCAGCAGCAAAGGTATTGTTTCCCTTTCAATTTGACTCTTGTTCTGGAAGAAGAGTAAGCTATTTTCACGCGTCCATGGGGCAGCTTACTCCTCCCTGTGAATCTGACTGGTTACTCTGGTTGGTGAGTTTATGGGACAGGGGCAATACTAAAACTCTTCCACTTTTCCTCTCCACCTGCTCCCTGCCCACTTTCTCACAGAGGGGGAGTAGTGGGGAAGTAGCCCGGGCTTTCTCCTTCATGCCCGGAGTTATAACCTGATCAGAGTAAGCAGGAATGCAAAGGAGGACATACTCTCTCTTACTTCCCTGTGTAGCCATGTAAGGGCGGTGAGACAATCGAAGCCTCGGTTTTCACTCAGTCCTGATGCAAGGCAAACTCCAGTGGGATGTGATTCTTCTAGGTCATTGGGCAAAATTTTCAAAAGTTACATCAGTGCCTAAGAGTCAGTCCCTCAGAGGTATTTAGTCACCTAACTCTTGCTGAAATTGAGGGGATTAAGCCCAAATACCTTGCGAGGA